GCACTCGAAGCCCTCGCGCGCGCGCCAGCCGTAGTTGCGGCCGCGCTCCACCAGGTCCACCTCCTCGAACTTGTTCTGGCCCACGTCGCCGCAGAAGAGACGCCCGCGGCCCTCGCCCGTCGCCGGGTCGCCGCGGTCGAAGGAGCAGCGCCACATGTTGCGGACGCCCAGGGCGTAGACCTCCGGCCGTGCGGCGGGGTCGCGCGCGAACGGGTTGTCCGGCGGGATGCGGTAGGGCGGGCCGTGCTCGGGGCGGTCCACGTCGATACGCAGCACCTTGCCCAGCAGGGACGACCTGCGGGCGGGGGCCAGGGCGCCGGCTCAGGGTTGCCCAGCACCAGGCCTGCCGGCCGGGTCGGAAATGGGCTGAAGGGGCTCAGGGGTGTGGCCAGAGGCACCGGGGCGCAGACTCCCCCATGCTCACCAGCTGGGTAACCAGTTACCCATTCCAGCACCTGCCGGGCTGGGAAGCGTTACACCTACTGTCATCTACTGACTTGCTTCATCCTGGCAACAGGCCTCTTAGGTGGGTGCACAGGTGGCACTGTGGTTAAGGCTTCAGCTTCAAGAGTTTAGTAGTTTGAACCCAGCAGCCCCCATGAGAGAAAGATGAGGCAGTCTGAGCAGTTTTGCCCTGTCCTGTAGGGAGGCTACAAGCCAGAACTGACTTGTAGGGACACAGCAGCACCACCACAGGTTTTATCGTGATCCCAGTTTACAGATGGGGCAACTGAGCTCAGAGAGGTCAATAACCGCCCCGTTGCCCCACAGCGAGTAATGGGCTCCAGCCCAGACAGGCAGGCCTCGGGGTCCTAAGCTCTTTGCCACTCTACCTGACCTTCCCTGTAACATGAGGGCGGCCCCTCAGGCCTGCCTGCTTACAGGGCACTGTACAAGGTGAAATTCCACTAGAAAATGACACATTTAGTGCCCCCAGCACCCCCACTGTGACCAGTATACAGCAGGTGCTCAGTGAGTGAGTGCTGAGTGAATGGATCCTGGACTGCAGTCAAGGCCAAGGTACAGGCCAGGGCCGGCCAAGGCAGAGAGAACGATGCAGATCTCAGCCAGGGACTTGCCAGCTCCCCAGGCAGCAGGTCCCACAGCTCTGGGCCGGAAGGCAGGCCACTTCCAGAGCACCAGGTACCATCAGCTTCCAGAGCCTCCGAGTGTGAGGGAGCCACAGAGGGGCCCTCCAGATTCACGGAGAACGGGGTGTGGCCCTGGCCTCCGCTCTGGGGGTAGTAGATTTGGTTTCATTCATCACATGACCAAAGGCCACGTGACGGGAAGAACGGCCACCGTGCTTGAAGACAGCAGCGAGGACTACACCCCCGTCACCCGTGAGTGCTGACGCACCACTTCCATTTCCCTCGCTGCTGGCATCTTGGTGTACAGGTTTCCCCTGCTATCCGGGAGCAGAACGTTCCTATGGAACTTTAAGCCAATATGGCGTAAAGCGAGGAGCAGTTACCATGCGTTTGTGTGGGTTCCCAGATCCAAAAAAGAACCTACAAGATCACACCACAGAACACGTACGACCTGAACAACACTCACACGGAGCGTTCAGACTCAGGTCAAAGCCCTAACGGCCGGATGCTGAGACGCTGAGTCCACTAGAAGGAGCTCCGTGCCGCCACCCTCGCGGCTCGGGGTGCACGCTGCCCCCCAAAGGCTCGGGGGTGAAACAAACGCTGAATGCTGATTTCACTTTTCACCTTTTTTTTTTTCGTCAAAGCGAAAATCCTCGGATTTCTTTTGGTTAGTGTAGCGAAAACAGGTAGTAACATAGGTCTTTGGTAAACGCAAGTGGCATAAAGTGAACTTTCGAAAAGTGGGGGAC